CAACGGGTCGACCGGAATCTACTCGTATTCATACCAGTATGGATATACATATTAGAGAGAAAGGCCAACCGAAGAGGTGTGGATTATGTAGAGGTGAAGGGCATTCAAAAAGAAATTGTCCAAACCTTCCACAGTATAGACCTCAGCAGTAATCTTATTATTTTATAAATTTTTATATTATATGCGATTCAATTACTCGAGTACATATTTAATAATAATGATTTAATGATTTAACTTTAATGATTTAATAATAATTACTTTAATGATTTAACTTTAATGATTTAATAATAATTAGTTTAATGATTTAACTTTAATGATTTAATAATAATTACTTTAATGATTTAATTATTTAATGATTTAATAATAATTATTTTAATGATTTAATGATTTAATGATTTAATAATAATTACTTTAATGATTTAATGATTTAATGATTTAATAATAATTACTTTAATGATTTAATGATTTAATGATTTAATGATTTAATGATTTAATGATTTAATGATTTAATAATAATTACTTTAATGATTTAACTTTAATGATTTAATAATAATTACTTTAATGATTTAATGATTTAATGATTTAATAATAATTATTTTAATGATTTAATGATTTAATGATTTAATGATTTAATAATAATTACTTTAATGATTTAATGATTTAATGATTTAATGATTTAATGATTTAATGATTTAATAATAATTACTTTAATGATTTAATGATTTAATGATTTAATGATTTAATGATTTAATGATTTAATAATAATTACTTTAATGATTTAACTTTAATGATTTAATAATAATTACTTTAATGATTTAATGATTTAATGATTTAATAATAATTATTTTAATGATTTAATGATTTAATAATAATTACTTTAATGATTTAATTTTAATAATTTAATAATAATTACTTAATTTTAATGATTTAATTTTAATGATTTAATAATAATTACTTGACTTTAATGATTTATATTTACTGATATAATAATAGTAAATATATTCGATTCAATTACTTTAATTTGATACAAATAATTAAAATAAGGATTACAACTCTTGTCGGTGTCGGGGTGTTGTTGAGTAATAATGTCGAGGCCCACGTCGGTTTCGTTGTTGTCGTTGCACTTGTTCAGGAGTTTGTTCAGCATAACCAACCTGCTCATTCATCGAGGGCATAGGTTCTGGTGTTGTAAATACATGCCCACCACCACTATGCTCTCCCATCTGAGGACAAACACTCGTACTTGTGATCATAGATGTCATCTGATCAAAATCATTTGTTGCCCCAAACATAGGAGGGAACATGAGTGATGTGAGGAACATGCTGAGGAGTGTAGGGCGTAACACCAGAATCACCAACCATTGACTAAATGATCTTGTGTGATCAAAAGATTCTGGTGGGATATTATCCATTGTCTCTTGTTCTGCTCCACGGTGAGAAGAACTCCCCCCACTCCCAGTCCTTCTTGGTTTCTCGGGTTTACCGAATTTTTTGGTATACTCTATAAATTGTCGCCTTTCTCTGATCGTTGTCAAGAACGGCTTTCCATGTTCCCAAAAATAATTCAGGTAATCCGAACTCTTGAAGTCAAAGTCATCTGGTTGTATGGGAGTGAGCGTTGGCAAGTATGAACCCCTGTTGTTCCAATGATTGATATGGTTAGCATGCCTCACCGACCAATCCTCACCGACCCTACCCCGCCCATCTAATCGATGGAGAGCATCATGATTCTCTGGAATGACTGGAATATGTTGGTGGAAGCCGAACTGCCTCAACACTCTATCGGCAAATTGGAACTCCACAAACATGAAATGGATCAATGGTGTAACAGCACACCAATATTCACAACCCTCCCAGACATGTTGCGGTACGCACGACATAATTTTTGATCATGGTACGGCCTCCAAATAAACTATAAAATAAAATTATATAGTTATTATTTAATTAAATAATTATAAAAATCAACAAATTAATAAATAACAATATTATAATATAACATAATATTGTAAATTCACTTATTAATTTTATATATACCTTAACTTTGCATTTGATGTCAATCTTAAACCTAAACTCTTTCACGTTGTTGTGTGCCAACCCCGTTCTTTCTATTTTATGCCTCCATCTGTATACCAATCAAAATAAAATTTTGTAATTATTTTTCATTTACAAAATATTTTTTATTTAATTAAGATAAAATATTTTAAATCAATAAAATTACCTTCCGGCAAGAGGAAAGTCAACTGCAGTTCGGCTAATCGGTGTTAACCATGGAATTCTGTACCACGCCCACGATTGTAATAACATCGTGCATCCGCCGATTTCAGTCGTGTACGCATCATTAACAATTAATGATGCCTTGCACATCTCGCGATACAAGAATGCCAATATTGCTGATCCCCAACTATATTGACGGGTCATAAAGAAGTTCTCCAAAAACGGAAGATATTGTATATGGACAAGATTACTAGATTTATCTGGCATCAAGATTCCGCCGATCAAAACGTAATATATGCTCGAGTTGCATATATAATGTCTCGCTCACTACATTGTGGATCGAGCTTAAACTCATTTGCCAACCAGGATAATCTCAGTCGTGACCCTTTTGCTACATCTTTGTCTGGTACCTTCCCAAGGTAACGCTCACATATTGCAAACATGTCAAGATCTGTATTTCCAACCACTGCCATTCCATTTGTAGGAACCCCTAGTTGTAAAGCCACATCCTCCAAAGTGATCGTACATTCACCACATGGAAGATGAAAAGTATGAGTTTATGGTCTCCACCTTTCAATTAATGCACTTATCAAACCGGGGATCAACCGAAATTCTCTTACAAAAGCAACATCATAAAAACCCACTGTTTTCAAAAATCAACAATACGTTGATCTGGCATCTCACAGTTGATAAGTCGAGGACGAAGGACTCGTTGTTCGTCATCCTGCAATTTAGTAGTCATTGTAATTAGAATTAATACACCGTTCTCAAATAAAAAAAATAAGTCGATCATATTACCAGTTCTCCCAAATTACTCGAAATGTGTCGACCATCTAGCCTCAAAAGAACATTTCTTCGGCCATGTTTCAACAAATCTAGACAAAAAAATTAAATATTACACTCAATTATTACATTGTTTTATTCAAATAATCAATTGCATGTTATCTACTTAATAAAAAATAAACATCAAATATAAATGATCCCTAATTACTATTTGCTTCTCAACATTTTCAAACTTTGCAATTTAATCACTAAATTTATAAATTCTTTCAAATTTAACCAATTAAGCATATTAATACTAAATTCAAGCAGTATACCAACTTTATAATTTACTCTAACTTAAATTCCTCAAATTTTGCAAAACGATCCCTAATTACTATTTGGTTCTCAACATTTTCAAAGTTAGCAATTTAATCCATAAAATTTAAATTCTTTCTAATTTAACCAATTAAGCATACTAATACTAAATTCCAGCATAGTATAGCAACTTTTAATAATTTACTCTTATTCCTTAAATTCCTTAAATCTTACAAAATGGTCCCTAAAACTTTACAATGTTCCAAAATGGTCCCAACCTTATTTCAAATTATGTAACAACATATAAATTATTATTTCAGAGTGTAACAACATATAATCACAAAATTAATAAACTTATGAAACTAAAATTATGAGATCAATATGAAACCATAAACCTTTAAAATAAGAATCAAATGAGATATAGGGCTTGAGTTTAAATTACCTCAGGCTATGCTTTGTGATCTTACTGCTGATCAATCTCCCTCTCAAGCTCTCACTGCTTCTGTAATTGTGAATTGCCTCAGCCCCAAACTCTCACATTGCCTCAGCCTCAGCCCTAGCATCTCTTATAAACACATTCGTAACTCATCCATATTTATTTGTTAAGAAGACGCCGAGCTATCCAGCTTTCCATGCAAAGACGCCGAGAAATCCTTACCTAAATGTAAAGAAAACGCCGAGAAATCCATCAGTTGCATGCCCCCCACATGCAGACGTGCAGGACCCCCACATGCAGACGTGCAGCCTTGCAGGACCCAGGACCCGTGATTTCTCCTTGCAGAACCCGTGCTCTCTCCTTGCAGAACCCGTGATTCTCACGTCCAGTCCCATGCACAGCACTGAAGACGCCGAGAGTTCCTATGAAGAATCCAACTGAAGACGCCGAGATATCCCACAGGCAAATTGCTTGAAGACGCCGAGCATTCCCATAGTTTCATAACCCTAAAGACGCCGAGAAAGCAATCATGGAAAAATTAACCCTAAAGACGCCGAGCTTTCCAAAGAACCACATTAAGCACTGTATATTTCACCCCATTTGGGGAAATAATAGGCAAAGGGCATTAGTTTGGGAAAAAATATTCCCCACATGCATTATTCTGGCATTTTTGCCAGAACAAGAGTAATGTTGTAATTGAGTGATCAAATTGATTTTTTTATAAAAAAAATGACCAGAACATGAGTAGGTTTAAAGTTGAATGGTAAAAATTGTAGTTACCCTTTATTAAATTTTCTTTTGATATTTCATAAAAATAATTTTATATGTTTTCATAATTAAATATATATTCCGGTAATTATATAATAATTCAAAATGAACCGGTATGCCTCAAGTCGTGAAGTAAAGTAGACAAAAGGTTTTGACGAGAACAAAATCTGATAGATGCGACCTACCCCGGCCTCGCCCCGCTCAACTACATCTGGTTAGGTTCGTCTGAGAAGATTTGACTTGGTCCCAATTATTATTTTAATATTGAATTTAAAAAAATCAAAATTTAATATTAATTTTAAAATAATAAAAACAAAAACTCAGGAATAAATCTAAATAAAAGAAAAAAAAAATTAAAGGACCTACAACTTTATTGACTATGCCGCTTCCAAAGCCCGCCAAAAGTCTCCTCCAGGTTTGTAGCGTTGAAAGCAAGAGGTTGCACACTACTTGCAGGATTCTCACCGCCATGGTCATTGGCCCCGCTAATTAAATTCCATAATTTAGGGTCCTCACCTTATTTATTTCTCTGACACTACTTTTTATTGCTTTTGATCGATCGCTCTTATCTGTTACAAAATCAACGCCCTCCTCGATGCGGATCCAGTTGTTGACGTGAAAAACCAACCACCCATGGCTGCCGGAAAAGAAGCCTCCACCACTCGCTCTCTTGAAGAGACCCCCACTTGGGCTGTCGCCGCCGTTTGTTTCGTCATCGTCTCCCTTTCCATTCTCATCGAATTCTTGATCCACCTCATCTCAAACGTACACAACTTAATATTAATTTCTTCATATAGATAGTCGTCGACCGTTTGGCGATTAACCAGTTGTTTAAATCAACCTTTGTAGTGGCTGAAGCGACGTAGGAAAACTGCACTCTATGATGCCGTCGATAAGCTTAAATCAGGTAAAATCACGGAAACTGCTTTTTTTTCTTCCTTTTTTTTAATGATTTTGGGTTCATATTTTCTTTCGACTTTGTTGTTGCAGTGCTCATGGTGCTGGGTTTCATGTCTCTTACTTTAACGGTGACTCGGAGCTTCATCTCCAGAATTTGCATACCCAGTGAATTTGCAGATTCCATGCTTCCATGCCGGAAATCCCTTGAATCTATAAAAGCTAAAAAAGATTTTGTTTATGAACAAATATGGAGCGTCGATGCATTACGTGGAAGAATATTAGATGATGATAGTAAATCTTCAGATTACTGTGAATCCAAGGTTTGTTGTTATTTGGCAAGTGTGAAGTTATTAAAGTGTAATTAATTAGTAACAAATGGGAATGGCAGGGAAAGACTTCTCTAATATCAGAGGAGGGGGGGAACCAGCTGAGCATCTTCTTGTTTGTGTTGGCAGCTATGCAGATTGTGTATAGTGTGCTCACTATGGCTCTAGGAAGGGCTAAGGTTCATCATTGTTTCATGTTATTTAATCCTTTTTCTAGAGCTTCATTTTAATTAATTAAATATATTCCTTAATTGTTAGATGAGGCGCTGGAAAGCTTGGGAGAAGGAGACGCAAACGATTGAATATCAAGTTGCCAACGGTAAATTTATTACTATATCTCACCCTTTTTTTTAGTGAATATCGAACATAAAACATATAAATATATTTAAAATATTTTTATTTTGTGATATTTTTATAACTTTCGTGCTTAATTAGAAAATAAATGCCTAGATTATACTGTTTTTTCTTTAAGTAGGTGTTTACTTCTTTTTTTTCCGATTCATCAAAGTGTCTAACGTTACAAACATTATCATTTTAGGTGTCTCGGCTGAAACGTCTTTAAAATATTCTATTAAGTGACACGTATATGTTTTGGTAATTTTAAAAATTTTAATTAAAATAAAAAACTTAAAATTATATATTAATTTTTTTCATAAAACTTATAGAAAAAAATTCAAAACTTTCAAAACTCTAATTTTAAACCCTAAACCCACGTTGACCATCAACCGTTACCGTTGTTGAACGTCCCCCGACCTCACCTCCCCCCATCAATCAATAACCCCATGAAAAGTTATCGGAATAGGAGTCAATCCACGATCAAATGCCGCAACCTCGACGTTACAAATTAAAATCCTATGCGATCCTGACGACTAATCGATGATAAGGATAACGTCGACAGTGATGTCGTGGCTGGAAAGAACGGCATTGGTGGGTTAGGATTAGAGATTTATGATTTCTAGGGATTTGAGATTTCTTTTTGTAATTTAAGAGATATTAGGATTTTGTTTAAATATAAAAATATTTTTAAGTGTTTAAAAAGATAAGATTCTCAAAATTATCATGATGTGACATGTGTCATTTAGTGGAGTTTTTTAATGACAGTTATAATTTCAGCACCTAAAATGATAATGTTTGTAATATTAAACACCTAGATGAATCGAAAAAAAATTAGACACCTATTTAAAAAATTGATAATTTAGGTAGTTATTGTCTAATTAAGCCTAATTTCTATATGGTTTAATTTCTATATAGGCAAGGACAGCTAGAATCTATATTGAATTGTTTACATATAACCTTGTACTCTTTTTTCTAATTAAATAACGTAAATTTAATTGTGTGGCTCTCCATCGAGCAATATAGTCTACTCTGCAGTTAAAATCACAATTAATTATCTGTCTCGTCCATAGTCAATGAGACATTTATTCATAATATCGTTTATTTCATTTCTCTATTTCTGTATCATATAATAAAATATTTAGAGAATTTCTTATAAGAACATATTCGAGACTTTACTATATTTTTTATATATTAATATCTTATACATATCTTAAAATTTAATTTTAAATTTTAAAAATATTTTATAATTTAATTAAAATCAAATCAAGCCGAATTAAATTTTAAAATCTCTCCAAAATTCTATATAATTTATAAATGTTAATGCTTGAGCGATATTGCCATTTAAATTTAAATATATATTTAATGTTTAGATTAGATATTTTTTTTTAGAGAAAATAACCTCATTGACAAAAAATGTCTTATAATATACGATTTTAACTAACTTTTTTTGGATTTGCCAAAATGACAACTAAATCGCAATGCGATCGATAATTCGCAACGCGATCTCCGGTATCGCAAATCAGTTTCCAGATTCGTAACGCGAACTTCGACTATCGCAATGCGAACTTGGACTATCGCAACGCGAACTTCGACTATCGCAATGCGAACTTGGACTATCGCAATGCGAATATGTAAATCGCAATGCGAATATGTAAATCGCAATGCGATAGTCCAAGTTCGCGTCGCGTTGCGATGCGATAGTTGACTATCACATTGCGATTTACATATTCGCATTGCGATAGGCGAAGTTCGCGTTGCGATTTATTCCAAATTCGCTGCGATAGTCCAAAATCGCAACGACTTGTGGTATTGTATTTGTTTCTTAAGAATTTTCTCTAAAAAAATAGTATTCGCGCGGACGTGTCGAAGACACGTATTGCCACGACCACGACCACGAGACGGCGGCAGCGGCGGCGTGAGAGTCCCCCTTGTTCTCTATCACTCAACAAGGAAGTAGGAAAACCAAGCCTTAAATACCATTCCCAATAGTGTTTCCAATACTATGTGGGATTGAGCATTACCAACACTTGTTTCCAATACAATGTGATTATTCAGGAAACAATTAACAATCATGCACCTTAAAACAACTGAATCAGCAACCAATTACATTAGTATTATACGATTAAATATGTCATAATTAAAAGTCAATCTATAATCAATCGCGATTATTGCAATTTTAAGCAAAACATTCAAAAATAATATCACTATTTAAGGCTCAATCCCACATAGTATTGGGAACAAGTGTTGGTAATGCTCAATCCCACATAGTATTGGAAACACTATTGGGAATGGTATTTAAGGCTTAGCTTTCCCACTTCCTTGTTGAGTGATAGAGAACAAGGGGGACTCTCGCGCACCGCCGCCGTCGTCTCGGGTCGGGTCGTGGTCGTGGTCGTGGTCGTGGTCGTGGTCGTGGTCGTGGTCGTGGTCGTGGTAATACGTGTCTTCGACACGTCCGCGCGAATACTATCTTTTTAGAGAAAATTCTTAAGAAACAACCGTCGTTGCGATTTTGGACTATCGCAATGCGAATATGTAAATCGCAACGCGAACTTCGACTATCGCAATGCGAATATGTAAATCGCAATGCGATAGTCGAAGTTCGCGTTGCGAATCTGGAAACTGATTTGCGATACCGGAGATCGCGTTGCGAATTATCGATCGCATTGCGATTTAGTTGGTCATTTTGGCAAATCCAAAAAAAAAATTGGTTAAAATCGTATATTACAAGGCATTTTTGGACACTGAGGTTATTTTCTCTTTTTATTATCTTCAAATTGCTATTTTAATTAAATATATTTTTTCTATTGAATTGATAATCGAACTTTGATACTCATTATTTGCTTAGTGTTCTTAGCAAATTTTAAATTTTATTTTAGAAAATACACTATAACATCATAATTGATGTACAATACAAGCTTATGTTATTAGATCATTAAAAATTAACATTGTTAAGAAAAATACTTAATATATATTTCAGCATTTATTTAATATAATAATATCAAAAGAATGTATGCATAATACAATCTTTTCAAACCATTTCTTATTTTTTTATAAATTTATAAAAAATATTAAATAATTCTAAAAATTTCCCAATATATTTATAATATATATTTTAAGAATATATTATAGTAAATATATTAATCATTTTCATAATTTTCACAACAAAGTACTAATCCTGTTTTTTTTTTTAAATTTTATTTTCCAAATAAACTTTGAAAATATTAGATCCCAATCGCTTTAGGATCACAAGACAAACGACTTTTGCACGTCGCCACATGAATTCATGTGCAGAGACATCAATCCTTTTGTGGATGGTAAGGCTTTTCCCTTTTCATCAATTTTGAGATCGATTTCTTTTATAATTCAGTGAAGAACAAAATTTATGTTAATCGTATTTAATGTTTTAATTGTGCAGAGCTGCTTCTTCCAACAGTTCTTCAATTCAGTGGCCAAAATTGATTATTTGACCCTACGCCATGGCTTCATCTCTGTTAGTACGCCATTTGTCCTTGTAATTTCCGTCCAAACTGGATTGAATATGGTTTTAAACCGAAATTCTTTATTTTTGCAGACTCATTTATCAACAAACACTTCCTTCAATTTCCAGAAGTACATTCAACGATCACTGGACGATGATTTCAAAGTCGTAGTTGGCATCAGGTACTAATTCCTTGCTCATTTCAACTCGCTGGAAAACCATTACTTCTTTATTAGAACATAAAACGAAAGGATTAATACCAAAATTTTATGCTTCTCTTGGATCAATTTCAGCCCTTTTATGTGGCTCTTGGTTGTTATCTTCCTGCTGGTAGACGTACACGGTGAGTAAGGAATTAAACCAGTTAAGTTTTTGATTTTTAATACTCTGATATTCTTTGCCATATGAATTTAACAGGATGGAATGTGTATCTATGGGTGTCATTTCTGCCATTGACAGTAAGCACACCGAATTTATTCCCGGTTGGGCAATTTTATGAACATCTTACCAAGTCAGTTGTTCCATCAGATAACGTTGATCTTGGGAACCAAACTGCAAGTGATAATGGCAAAAATGGCACACCGAGTGAAAGATCAAAACAGTGTAATCCGAGGAGCTCCTTTGGTGCAACCAAACGACAACTTGTTCTGGTTCAATCGCCCCACATTTGTTTTGACCCTTTTACATTACACCTTATTCGTGGTTAATAATTCTTCCCCGTGACAACTATATTTGAAAAATGTTATTTTCCCCCTACTTTTTTGTTAATTGGAACTAACACCTTTTGTCCTTCCCATCCCAGAATGCGTTCGAAGTGGCATTTTTCGTCTGGGTCACGGTATTTATCAATCATTTTTATATAAAAAAAACTTTTAGTTATTTTTTATTATTATTAATTTTCTATCTTAATTTTCAGACACAATATGGACTCGAGTCCTGCTACCATGAGCACAGAGAAATAATCGTAACAAGGGTGGTGTTAGCGTAAGCTCCAATTCCCTTTTCTTTTGTTTTACTTTTCCATATAATATATATAATTGTTTTAAATATGTAATAAAATATAATTTAATTTGCTTGCAGGGTGACGGTTCAAGTCATATGCAGTTACGTTACTCTCCCCCTCTATGCTCTTGTGACCCAAGTAAGGTGGTTTTATGAACGTTGTTCATATTTCCCAGCTCTAGCTTTGAAGTTGTAAGCAAAATTGTTTTTGCATTTTTTGGGAATTTGTAGATGGGATCAAATTTCAAGAGAGCAGCGTTGGAAGTGCAGACCGCGAATGCAATAAAAGAATGGCACGCCGGGGTGAGACTGAAACGGAAAAAGCAACGACAATCTTCGCCTGCCGCCGCCGATGATTCTACGAACAACAACGCCGCTGTTTCCGCCGTGGATTCATCGGCTCATCAGCATCAAACGCCGGCTTTGTTGGAAAATGCTAGCTTTGGGGAGATACAAGAAGAATCAGGCCCTGCTATGCCTACTTCCGTTGCTGTCGATATACACATGGGTTCCTTGGAGAAGTCCGTGGCCAGAAATTAGAGATGCTCTCACCAGCTCCAAAGCCATTTTTGTTTACTTTGTATAGGATTTAGTAGATCATCATTCAAAATTTGATTCAATTACAATTATTATCGGGATTTTAACTCATTAGTGGCGATTTTATCCGTCACCGTTGCTTATTTGTTCGTATAAAGAGAAGGAAATTAGATGAAATTCACGAAATAACAGCCAGCGAGTTTTTATTAATTTGCGTTCAAAGTAAATTTATAATTGACTTTAAATGTTGCTGTTTTGGGTATTATACAAGTGACATGTGTGTCATGGTCAAGTATCATATATGTGGATCTCATTAGGTGGGTTGATTATATTTTATATTAAACAAAATATATATTTTTATATTAATTTTCGAAATTGATACACAATTAATCTCAAATTTAGTACCCAAGGACTCAGATCCTCAACCTTTATATGATATAACTAATGATTTGTTGTATATAAATATTAGATTTAGTGATGAAAGATGTAAATTACCCAATAACAAAAACACACTTTTACAAATCACCCATTACTTAAATGGGCTGTAAACCTCCCACGTAATGGGTGCTTTTATTTTCCTTTTTTTCACATTTTCAGATGAAAATTTCAAATTGAAATCTAACTCTTCAATATTATTGATCGACGTGTCAAATATCGGAACGTACAAACATGATAGAAATCTCAATTTTGGTTTACAATCGTGTTGTTTTGAAACATCAAACAGGGTTGATGCCACCTACCCAACTGCATTAATCCATGAAAAATCGCAGTCAAGAACCTGGCTCCATTCACCGACTTGTAAGACAAGGATGGATTAACAATTTCGTATGGTAAAGATCTAACCTTGTAAGAATCATCAAATCATTAGGGTTACCCTAAACATGTTAGATAATAGAGAGCGACCTCACACTATCATGACAAAATATAATATATGATTATTTTTGTTTTTATTTAATTAAGATACGATCACTTATCTTATCGACTTTTAACTGTTTAGTTCCTAAAATTCTGACTGTAGTTAATGGGTAAAAGTGAGAAAACTAAATAGAATTGATCAAATATTATTATGTTTTTTTGAAGTTGGTGAAAAAATATACAAAACTAAAATGAAAGCGATCAATCCTCCAATTTATTCTTTTTATTTTCGTGACTAATTTAAAAATGAAATAATTTTATATTATAAAATTTTAAAAGAGTAATAAAATATCATATTAAATTTTATTAAACTCGACTAAATGCTAAATTTTAATTTATAGACCTCGACAAAAGTTGGGAGGGCCACTATATGATTAAGTGGAAAACGATGGGTCCATTTGGGCTGGGAGTGGGTTAAAACTAACCATTTTCGACTCGGGTTTTATTACATTTTATACCGACCAGTGAGATTGGTACCAAGTCGGGTCAATTATCACTTAAACCCATTAATAATTGATCCAGATTAATACCTGAAGTATGTTAATAATATCTAATTAACATTAGTTATCTAATAAATAAATAAAGGGGGGAGTGGCAGAAGAGTGGGGGCCGTAATGCCGCGGCAAATGCGCAGCCCATCACTTTCTCTGCTAAAATCATCGATTATCGCATGTCTTCTATATATTTTTTTAATTTGTTTGAAAAAACTTAGCCAAATCTAAAATAAAAGGTTCACGCGCTGAGTAATGTTACGAGGGGAAAATATGAATAAAGGAAGACAGAGAGGATGACGAGACTAGGGATCACCCGCCCCCCCCCCCCCCCCCCCCCCCCCCCCGAAAAAAGAAGAAGCGAAGAGCTGATGCTGAAGTCTGTCCGTCTGACTCACTGAGTCCTAACAACTATCAACACGCCCACGATCGTTGCTGCCAAAAGCTCCCCCCGCCCGGTTGGCCCCATTTTCCTTTACTCTAGATTATATATATGAGATATTATAATTTTTGTTGATAAATTGAGATTTGAGAGTATTAATAACTCCTACACATTTTGAATTTTGTTTTTTACTTGGTGATCCCACTTAAATTTGTATAATTTTAGTATCTTAATCAAACATGTTAATAATTTATTGTATTTATAAGAGTATCTAATTACATTATTTAGAGGTATTTTTTATAATTTTTCATAATGTTCAAATACGAACATAAAATTATATATTTAATTAATAAAAAAATTAGTACCATCTATACAAGTGTATCGAGTTTTTATTATTTTTTATTAGTTTAAGATGAGTATAAAATAATATATGGTAGATGTTGTATGTCGTTTACTAATATGATAAAATTATTAATTATATTTTCCCACTCGAAGGAAATAATAATGAACAACCGAACATAAAATTAAATTATTTCTAATAATAATATTATTTTGCGAGTCAAACGACTTTGCTCAAATCGTTTTGTTTAACCCTTCGTTTAGTTGAATATCGATACCTATAAATACAATGTTTATAAGTAATCATTACTCATTATTATTATTATTATCACGTTCCACTGATTCTAAGACGTTGGAGAAACATTAGTACTTTATTTCAGCAACACGGTTTTCTTCCCATTTGGTTCATATCTTTAAAGTCCAAAAGCCAAAAGCCAAAAGCCAGTGCTTGCATTGGCTTTATGCTTCCTTTTGGTTGCTGTGCTTACTGTGAGCAACTGTGTACGTCTGCTGTGCTGCTCTCCCTTTTCAGTTACTGGAATCATGCCTTTGTATTCCTTCTTGTTATTATTTGACACCCTTTTCTCTTCTTCTCTATCCTTTTTCAAAAACGCCACTTTCTTCTTCTTCTTCTTCTTCTTCCATTGTTCATCTTCTTTCATTCTTCTCATGTTTAGCTTTGCTCTTGTTGCTTAAAAACATTTCTCGGCAATGTTTTAACTTCACTTCATATATGGTCTTTTCATCTTTCTGGGAAACCTTTGTCTTTAATTACTCGCATCCTAATATTTTTTTCTTAAAACTTTCCAGTTATTTTTTTAACTGGAGGAGGTGGTTGGTGATTCGTTTGTACTTGCACTGAGGAGGAAAGAATAAAGTAAAATTTGGGTTGTTCATGGAAATTGATCTGAACCATGCAGTGGATGAGGTGGAGAAGACTGTACTTTGCAATGGGGGCTGTGAAAAAGCTAGTGCTTGTATTTACTGTTTGTCTTCTTCATCTTCATCAACATCCCCATGTTCTTCAAGCTCAGGTTCAACTGCTCCTTATTCATCTTCCACTTATTTGGAGCTTTGGCGTGCTTGTGCTGGCCCTCTCACTTCACTTCCCCAGAAGGGAAATGTTGTTGTTTATTTCCCTCAAGGTCACTTGGAACAACTTGCCCTTGCCTCTTCTTTCTCTCCCTTCAAAACCTTTGATCTTCCTCCCCAAATCTTTTGCAAAGTGATGCATGTCCAGCTTCTAGTAAGTAACTCAAATTTTCTTCTTTTCTACATTGAAGTGCGTCTTTGCATCCTTCCTAATTATAACTTCACTTTTCCTCCAAATTTGACGACTCCTTTTGTTTTCTGTCATTAAGGCCAATAAAGAGAATGATGAAGTGTATACGCAGGTCACCTTACTTCCTCAACGGAAGGTATTATAATTCTTAACTTAAACAATAATAGCTGATTCAGTAGCTTTCATTGGTATAGAATATTTGGGTGTTGTTTACTTGCATGGTCTTTAAGAAATTTTGTCATCTCTTCGGTATTAGTTTTATGTGGAATTGAGGTTCAAAGTGCAACTTGTTTTCATTGGTCTAGAATATTTGGGTGTTGTTTACTTGTATGTTCTTTAAGAAATTTTGTCATTTCTTTGGTATTAGTTTTGTGTGGAATTGAGGTTTCAAAGTGCAACTTGTTTAGCATTTTAATGAATGAATTCCAGTTACTGTCAGCGTAAATATAGTTTTGGTGATTTCCAGTTTGCTATTTTCTGCAGTTGGGAGAGCCTAATTTGGAGGGTAAGCAGTCAGATGAGCAAGGTGTGGATGCCGATGCTGATGGACCGCCTTCGAAACCTACTCCTCACATGTTTTGCAAGACATTAACAGCTTCAGACACTAGCACCCATGGAGGGTTTTCTGTTCCTCGTAGAGCTGCCGAAGACTGTTTCCCTCGGCTGGTGCGATTTTATACTCATAAATCCTCATGTGATATTCACCTTGCTGTTTATTTATCCTAGAAGCCTCTTGTAGATATAATGGTGTTTGGCTTAATTTCAGGATTATAAACAGACAAGGCCCTCACAAGAGCTTGTTGCCAAAGACCTCCATGGAGTTGAGTGGAGGTTTCGCCATAAATATAGGGGTAACTGCAGCAGAGAGTTTGACATTTCTGATAGTATTTAGAATGTTCTGTTAATGTTTATTAATTTTAGGTCAACCGAGGCGACATCTCCTTACTACCGGTTGGAGTATTTTCGTGAGTCAAAAGAATCTTATTGCTGGGGATGCAGTGCTCTTTCTGAGGTTTGTATAACTTTTATCGATAATGATGCATATGAAACAGTTTGGAGAGCACAACACCATATTGATAGTAAGAAATTGGTAAAAAAGTTAAGTTTATAAAAGGAAGTTGGATTCCTCATTCAAATGGTACAGCCATCATAGACTGGAATATGTTATGATACTCGAGAATTATATACCCTTTTACACAGAGATTGTAATGGGGTGCTCTGCCATGTCTTCCCATGGCCTAGTTGTTTGAAGTTCGCTGATCTATTCTCAACATTGTAGGGGTGAAGATGAGGAGCTGAGGTTGGGAATCAGAAGAGCTGTTCGATATGATACTCGAGAATTATATACCCTTTTACACAGAGATTGTAATGGGGTGCTCTGCCATGTCTTCCCATGGCCTAGTTGTTTGAAGTTCGCTGATCTATTCTCAACATTGTGGGGTGAAGCAGAACAGAATTCATATCCAAATGTTCTGTCTCCGCTGACTGATGCAATATCCACCAAAACCGTGTTTCATGTCTTCTACTGCCCAAGGTAAGTGTCTGTTTCCTTCGAGGTTGAGGCAGTGACTGGCATTTGGCCGAAAAAATGTAAGATTCACGTAACAAGATCTAGAATTAACAGTATTCTTTATTAGGTTAGAAATTTTAATGCACACGCTCTTTACAGAAGTGAATGGTTCATTCGAAAACATTGAGGCTATTTTCAAACTGATTGTTAAGC